AATAGGACACATCCTGATTCATTTATCTTAGGTCAAACGAACAGGCCTGGAAAAATAAGGCTGTCATCAAGAGACTGATTAATTAAGTGGATAGACAACAAACAGTCTGTCCAAAACTGTGCCAGCAGGCTAGAGAGAGGTTGCTACTGAGGGCCTTTTCAAACATGGTATATCTAACACTGCTAGCTTCATTAAGCTGTTAAAGTGATGGCTTTATGTCTTTCAGACACAGACGTCCATTAAGTTAATGTTCCTTGCGGCTTGACAAGATCTTTACAGACTAAGCATGAAGTAAAAAGTGCTGTGAACACGATTCTCACAATAAATATTATATTAAATGTTCTCAAATTTTATCAGTTTTATCAGTTTTATCATTGGAGAATTAGGTTACCTGTTTTTTATGTCCAGCATTACACAAGAATATAATCACAAGAAGATGGGTCTCTCGTTTAATTCCTAATAGCTGACATGCTATATGTAAAGTGTTTTGCTGGATATTCATAGTATCATCAATGCAATTGGCATGAAAGAGAATCTAAAAACTAGGGAGGGTGCGCAGCTCTGATTAAGATTTTAGCTTTCAGACTTCAGACTTGTGCGTGCTGGCAGTTTCACATAAAAGCATGTTGCTTGTTGCATGTTGCTTGTTGCTTTCTAATGCCACAGGATGCAATGTGGCTGATTATGACTTAGGGGTGTGTTATATGTATTGTCTACAATAATATCTTAATTGTTGTTTTAATGTTGTGTGAGCAGACATTATCGAGTAGGCTACAATCAAAACCACTTTGCACATTCACTATACGTGCTAGACCTAAGCAAGCAATAGCTGCTGAAAAATGCACAACTTAAGTTAAAAATTAATGAACAAATGCCAGGAGATAAAACACACCACCAGTCTCGCAGTCTATGTTGTTAGATTTAATTGCTAGACGTGGATCTACCTCAATCGCATGGAGGTGGTTTGGCTTTGAAAAGACAGATGTTGTTAAAAAAAACATCAATCTGCAAACAATGTCAGAAATCGGTTGCTGTTGAAGATTACAAACTAACTACTGCATGGATTATCAAAAATATGAGAAGCTAAATAAGTCTAAACCAGCCAAAGTACCAGCACAAAAACAAACTCCGGTTCAAAAACCGCTACACTGATGATGACAGATTCAAAGCCACTAAGCCAACAGCTACGACAGAACTCATGGCTATAGCGATAGATGAAATCGTCGTGCTTGCTCTGTTTGATGTCCATAATTCTTGCACTGGTGATTTCAGGGGTTTTATATTGTTTTTACTTGAATGCTTTAGTTTTAATTAAATAAATAAGACCTGTTTCCATTATTGTCATTAGTAAGCAACAATTAATATCCTATTAACAAGAGCAAGCTAGTACAATATTAGACTTTTACAAATTCAAAACTGACTCTCCAACAGTTTAGCCTTTCTGCCAAGCTAGGCTAAAAATGTCATGGGCTACCTCAGTACCGGAAACACAGAAATTATGACTTTTTCCCCCTTATTTAAAACAATAAGGGAATCCATTCTGTTTTAATTATTTTCACTACTCTGCCCAGATATCTTGGCACTAGAAAGTGTCTTCAAACACTGAATCAAAACAAACGCACCCACTGGTTTCATCATAGCAACAACAAGCCTCTGCATAGCCTCACTCTGAACTAAGCAATAACTGAAATTACTCCCATTTTGCCAACAAACAAGCCAAAATCCAGCTTAGCATTTCTCATTGTTAGATCCACACCAGCCTCATTGAGTTTCAAAGTTATGCCCAAACATGCCATGACACAACTACTGTCTTCTTTCTCATTCCCTCCATATTTTATGTGCTTCTCTGTTAAAATACCCTTCTTCTTGTCCATTATTTCTGTAGTTTATTTGAATTGTTCTAACAAACCGTGTGATGCATTTTGAATGTACTCTTAAGTCTGATACCAGGCTTAACTCAAAGCATGAAGCATGTGTGCGTTTCCTGTGTGAAATCAGGTGTGTGTGTGTGTGTGTGGGAGATAATCCCCTTCATGAAGGTTTGTTCGCACAGAGAGCCATCCACAGTGAAGTGCAGGGGCTGGAGATGTTACATCATCACCAGTTTCTTTTCTTATCCTTCCCCTCCCTCGCCATCTCTCCCTCCCTCTATTTCTTTCTTCTGTCTCTGCACTCTCGTCATTTCTCCCCCATCTTCTTGGTGGCCTTTTCTCCCTCTAACTATCTAAACCACCCACTTTTTTGCCCTCTCTCTTACATAAGACACAGGGGTCAGTTAACAGATGATTTGTCTTTACAGATTTTTGTCACTGTTCCGGTTTTCTCCATCTTCTTCTGCTCTCTCTCTCTCATTCTGTCTCTTGGAATTGTTATATTCTCATTCAACGTTCAACTGAAAAGCCAGGCAATGAAACTGAACAACTGAATCTGAGGAAAAAAGTGGAAAACTTCATTTGGAAAATAACAATGAAATTAAAAGAGTTACACCAGGAATCCACTGACTCCGGCTACGGCATGTTACAGATGCACCACAGTTTTGATCCGTCTATAGCCCGGCGTCAAAGTCGACTGGAAGCGTCTCAGAAGCGTTTCAGCAGTGGAGCGTGCAGCCTGCTCCACATTATTTACTTGTTATTAATTTGTCCTTTTTATGCTTCTATTACCTTCTTCACAGCTGTATGTGACCCTGTTTCTTTCTGCCATCTTCAGGCCACATTTCCCACAAGGAGCGTTTGAGAATCAGAGCATTTTGCCTGCCTGATTTTGCTAACATGTTTAAATTTTGTTGATTTGGTAATCAGTGTCAGACTATGATTAAGTGGGCTACGTAGTTAAATGATTTCTTTTTGTGTCTGTTTTAACCGTGTTTATCGTTGTTTTAAGATCTGGACTCTCCACACTGTGTTTTAATTTGAAAATTCTCTATGCCGTTCTGTGTCTGACTTCCTGCCTGGTTTGATCTGCTCCTGCGGTGCAGCCGTAATGTGCCGAAGCCTGATTCAGTGGAATTGAATTAACTTGCAATCTAATTAGCTTTCTTTTAAAAGGCAGAGCTTTTGTAAAAGCTTAGATTTTTTTGTTCCTTAATAGAGAAAGGATATGACTGATAGTTTCCTGCATCAGTGCCAAGACGTCGGTTAAAAATACACTAAAATAGAGATATAAACTACAACAAAGAAGACATAAAAAAGGAGGGAATGAGTGTAGGAAGAAGGAAAGAAACAAAGAACTACAGGAGGCAGCTGAGAGTAAACTGTAGGTGCTTTTTCACTTCTGGCCAGACTTTCACAATGACTGTCTGTAGCCTTTAACCTCAACATTTAAACATGATCTTTATAGTCTCCCTGCTATTTTGGAATATGTACTCATAAATGTGACAGGAATTACAGTACAAAGGCAATGTGAGATACCGATCAATAAATATTGTGTTTTTGTATAGGTTATCATATAATAATACAATGTAATCAGGCCACTGTAAAATTAAATGTTAACTATGCCATACTTTGTACTGTTGGCCCAGTGGTGAGGTTGTGTTGCTGGGCAACAGGGGAAATGCCTTAGAGTTTGTTTAGTCTGCCGGTCACGTTCTGCGTGTTCAATGTAGATTTAAGACAACAAAGGAAATTTAGAGTTCAACACAGTCAAACACCTGCAGAAAATGTTTGGCATGAGCTCATTAAACCATGGTCATTCTTAGAGTCTGACATTGACATTTAACACTCAGCACATCTCAGAGTTTAGTCAATGCTCTGTGTGTGTGTGTGTGTCTGGGTGGGGCTTTTCTAGATTCTTCTGAAAAAAACATTTGTTGACAGAAGAGCTTTGTGTTCAGCAATACTATGTACTATACAACAATAGCTAGAAGAAGTGAGTGCAGCTGAATATTAACATTACTTACATTCCTGCCTGGATGGATTCACTGTAGTTTGTTTTACTGGAAGTGATTTTTGCTACGGGATGTAGTCATTTAATCTTTGTCAATGAGTTTCCTAATGTAGCCTGGACTAAGATTTACCAACTTGTATCACTGCAGTCCAAAAAGCCACTTGAAGTAGAACCTTGTAGTAATTCGTGTATTCTCTTGCAGTCTTTGCTGGTGTTATCATTGCCAACAATTACAATGAATGATTTATAAAATAAAACCATCACATCATGCATGAGTAAGTAGAGTAAACTTATTTTGTTAATTCGAAATCACAGCTTGATTGGAATCATTCAAATGGACAGGAAAAAGTGCCCTCTTCCCGAGTTAAATCTGTTATTATGGCCTTGTCTTTTTCCTCAAAGCAGTTGGGAGTTTGCTGCGTCTTGCGGCTTGAGGGTTTGCGGAAACTTTAATCTTTCACTTTTCGTAGAAGGATTTGACTGTTTTCGCTGTGTGACAACACAGAAAGAATTTCACCCCTGACCCTGGCAGAGTTAAATGCCACATCCTACTGTCTCAGTGCCACAAGAGAGAAAGAAAAAAACAGACCAGGAGGAGAAGACAAAGAGGATTTTGATGGGGTCGGTAATTTGACTTCTTCGCTATTATGTGAGGAATGTTGACAGTAAATTCAAGTATTCATAACATTTTTTTATGCAAAGAGTTTTACAACAATGCACAGATTGTGCTTTGTTCTCTATTGTAATGGTTATTGTACTTTGTTCAATGTTTTGTATTTACAAATTGTAAGTAAACATATCACTGGGTCCTATGCACCTATCATACAGTAGTAGACAGTAGATTTATACACTGATAATATAGAGAAAAGAATAACTACAAATACCCATTTGGGTGGATGGAGGGATGAGCTGAAATAGATCAAACATACTGTATTTATTCCTGAGGGGAAACCATTCGAGCAGCAGCAGAGGAGATGTGAAAGCTTGAGACCAAAGACTAAAATGAGCAATAAGATGAATAAAGGACAACCTCTCTGTGATTTCTGATAAGACTTCCTTCCTCACAATTTACGTACTTGTGAGATGTGACTATTAAATCAAAAGCCTTGCAGTACCTGTTCATTGATAGAGCTGTAGTCGTTGGTGGTGGAGACATCATCGTCCTCCGAGTCGAACAGGCCCTCCTGGTTGTCCAGCAGCTCTGCCAGGACTCTGCTGACAGACTCTTGGTCTCGAAGGTCTTCTCCTTCTGTTGACAGACTGCAGAATGAAGACAAGAGAATGGTGTGTCATGTTGATTGTATGCTGGGAATTACTGTGGGATGTAAAACCATTACAATAGCTGAATAAATGCATGTGTAAGTTCCTACACGTGCCTACATGTGACTATGTATAAGTTTATGTGTGCACCACCTAAATCTATTTCTTTCTGTACAGCTATCCTGTCCTTATGTTCCCATTTTCTGATGATTTTATGACATTTGCAGTAGATGATTTAATTTATAGTAATGATTTAAAACCAAATAAATTTACAGTTTTGACATCAGACATTTAAATACATACTACACTGGCAGATCCACAAAATCTACAGCTCAAATTATTTTGCAAAGGTACAAAGATTGTGATTGTAATAACAATTATTAGATAGCCCTATACAGGCATCTTACTGGAAGATGTCTGGCCCAAAGACGGCAGCTAGCGTCCCAATGTTCCAGCTCTCCTGCTGAAGAGATGCCACGCTGGCCAGGAAGCGGCACAGGAAACGCAGCAGGCCATAGTTCAGTAGGGGAAGCTGCTGCAGCAGGTACTTTAAGTTTCTACACAACTCCTCTTCATTGGTGTAATCTGGGGATGTATAGGAGGTTATGATTACATCTAACTATTAAGATTCTCATAAGCTTCACAGCAGACAATAGATCTTACTCACTGTAATTATTTTTACTGGAAAAGTAGAACTTGTATGATTGATACATGCTGCTTTCAATGTTGCTACAAAGCACATTTTTGTTACTGAGTGAATTATGGGTTATCAAGTCCTTCGTGTTCCTTCACAGTTGACCTTAAAAATTCTTAACAAGGGAAAACATGTAGACACACAAGATTAGCAGACATTCCTCTGGGGGAGGTGAAATGAGGTGAAACAGTAGATGGCATCAGGTAGAAAAAATTGCAAAAAGGGTAATCCTTGATGTAGTATAGTAGTGCAATTATAGAATATAATGAGAAATTAATGACATGACAAGGAAAGTCCTTGCAAACTCCGCCACTGCTAAAATCTACATGACAGCAACAGGAACAACCATCATCATGACAAGGGGATTAGAATAGATTATCTGTGATAGAAGCAGCAGCAAAAGAGGACAGGGCAAAGTGGAGAACCAAAAACAGAAACAGAGCTAATGCGGTGGAAGATCTGTAGAAGTGAATATTCATTTTCCATTAAACATGTATTACGCCACTTCTTAATTGCCTATCTTAATACAATATTTGCATGCCCATATATGTGGCCACGGGATGTACACTTCTTAAAGCAATTTCAGTGTAAGTGATGTGGGACAAAATCCACGGTGCTTGTTTTGTGCAAAAATTAATTCTAAAGTTCAATTGAAGTCAATACAAAAAGTCAATAGTCGGAGATAGACAAATCTAATGGGTTAAAGTTATGTCTGTTAGTCTTTTCTGGTAAAACATTCCTGCTTTGTGTTGGTATCTCTGCGACTATAGACTGTATCTGATAACAACCTGATTTGTCTAAACCAACCCAGCTGAACTTGTTAGCTTCAGCAAAACATTAGAAAACATTTTTGCACAGAACAAGGACTGTGGATTGTATCCCTCTTCACTTCCAATGATATTGCTTAAAGAAGGTTTTCTTGGCAGCCAGTATTGACAGTATGATAAAGTACAGCTACTAGTTACCCTTTTCAAAGTGCATATGGTGCAGAATTAGTACTACTGTTCATAGATAATATGAACCTGTCCTGTCCTCGGGTGAAGAGACAGAAATAAACATAAAGAAAAGGAAGCACAGTATCAGTGCAAAACCTATATAGACACCATTTAGGTACTTGCAGTACATGCAGTACAGCTAGCCACCTAGTGTTGTGAAAACACTAGGTGGCTAGCTGTGTTGTGATAAGAGAAAAAGAACAAAAAAAAAGAGGCTACATTTTCCACAACAAGCAAAAATAACTGCATGAATTAACCTCAAAACAGAGCAACAACAGAAAATCAAGTGTTGGTTTCAGAGTGGATAGAAAGAGAGATGAGGTGAGTTGAGTGGGTGGAGAAAAATACAGAATGGCATGAGAAGAGGGAAAGCAGTCCCTGTCACACACCTTGGTGTAGCTGTAATATGTGTCCCTGTATTGCCGTTGGGATAACAGGCTCAGGAAGCTCCTGCAGGAAGAGTCGGAGCAAACTGACTGCTGATGCCAGGTCCGCCTCCTTCTCTAGCTCCACCTCCTCACCACTGTCATAACGCTGGCGCAGCCAATCCACACGCTCTGCGTTTCCATTAACAAGGAAGAGCCCCTCTAAGTCCAGATGACCTGATGACACATACAACAATAATTAGTCAAAGTTATAAATGTTTGGGCTACTGACATTAAAGACATAATGATTATAAAATGTCTATAATTTAAGCTAACATCCTTGATTTTAAACCACCCAACACCGAGAACAAACAGGCAGTGTATCAAAAAGAAAGTTGGTCTACTCCGTTAACAAGCCACCTGCCTTTCTGCTTTACTCTTTGAGTAGAAGGATTGGTTGTAGCTGAGGCTGGGCATTAATATCATTAATAATAACAAAGTCTAGCTTCACAAACATAATAGTCCAAAACTAAAAGTAACAGTAATACTAGAGTAATAACAACCAGTAAGTACCTGAGTGCAAATACCAGGTAATACAGTATGGTCAACTTGGGAGTCAATGAAAAGTCTCCTGTACTCTCAAATAATTAACTGATTGATGTGTTAATGTTAGGGGAAACTGGTGGCTGCAAGGAATAAACCGGTTGAGTCCTCTAATTTCTGGCCAAAGAAGGTTGCATTTCTCAGCCATATTTGGAAGAGCCTTTGGGTGGGAAAGACCTTGTAGAGTCTTTATAACTTATTTGGTCTAGAAATGTGGACTCCAGCTCCTAAATTTGATACCCAGCTTACAGAAGGTCAACAGACTGATATAAGTACAAGGATCTGTGTGTCTGTGTGTGTACACAAATGCATTTGTGCATGTGAACTACTCAAGGCATGACCACACTGGCTGTTGTCATTACTATATGTGACAACGTCACTGAGCGTTTGCCATTAAAAGGACAAACTGATAACATCAGCATGTCCTGCCAGTTTTATAAAAAAAAAATGTATATATATATATTATCATGTTTTTCTTGTGCATCTAGTATGTGTACTGAAACCCGTACTGCTAGTAGTTTCTGAATTACTGGTTGGATTTATACAAATTAAAATCAAGATTATTTTGGCAAATTTTCACGACATACTGAAAGTATGTGTACAGCCATACAATTTAGTTTTAATTTTTTTTATGGATAACAACACACACTTATCTACATGTAAGCCGTATTATTCCATTAACTCTTGGCTTGCCTTAGTTTTGCAAATGCTTCAGGTAACACGTGCCATCCGCAACCATTATCATTGCAGCAGGTGAGCCACTTGTGGGCTTGTTAATGACGCAGCCTATCAATCAACCGAAACCAAAATGCAACCTGTGTGTTCAACGCTGCTTTACCTGGTCCGTGCTTGTAAAATATCCACCGAGACTTGTAACGTCATAGGCTACCAAGTTTTTAAAAGAGTGAAGTCATCGACCATCCCGATGTTTCAGTATAGCTATTGTCCGATGGAAATTTTGTAGATATTGCCCAACCATAGCACTGGAGCCTAAAGAATTTGAGTATGCCTCAAACAAACTAGTTTTTACGTAGAGTTGTTTGAACAGGTCTGCCTTGTCTGAACAAGTCAAATGACCACACTACAAAGCTGGGCAAAAAGCCTGCCGTAATAGAGAGGGGCAGAAAAAGCGAGAGCGTGAGAGCGAAATTCATTGTCTGTATACGTTACCACCTCCAAACATCTGGGCAATCTCTACATTTCTGAACTTGTGGGATTCAGAAAGTTACAAAAATCGACAGACAAAAAGCTTTACTATAATCCAACAAGCACTTTGGACCATAGTGCATCTTAAGAAATTATTTGACAAGATGACCATTGCATAAGTCCCACATAAAGAACCTGGGAAGATTTAAACACAACAGGGCATTGCTTGGAAATGTGATAATGTTGTGGTTTTCACAATAGGAAACCTGTTCAGTCTCTGGTTTCTCATCTGTTAACAAGCCAGCCAACACAATATTTTAGCTCAAATGTTCTCCAGGAGACCTGTGGGACCTATTGTCATGGTTTTAGTGTCATTATTTTCTGTTGTATTCTTGTTTAGACCTTTCCCAGTGTGTGTTAGTGTTCGATCACTCCCTGCCTCTGTGTTCTCTATCAGGTTTTGTTAGGCTCCTGCTCCATGTTCATGTTCATGTTGTATTTTGTTACTTTCATCCTTGTGTGTTGTCACTAGCTTAATTTATTTTTAAGTTGTCGCTGCCGGGTGTCCATTGTCAAGCTTTGTTTCCTGATTATTCCTGATATTCACCTGTTCTCCCTGCTCGTTTACCCCTGTATTTAATGTGCTCACTTCTGTTCAGGCCTTGCAGTATCTTCATCGTATGTCGAGTGTCCTGTTCCTGTGTGCGAGCTTTCTACCATGGGCTAGTATTTAATTGCTGCCTTAGTTTGGATTTTGCCTGTCACTACTGCCTATAAGAGTGAGTTTCACCCTTTGTAATAAACCTGACAAACTGTACCAGCAGTGTCTTGTATTTTGGTCTTCAAGCCGTCTGTCACTCGGCCAACCTTGACATCTATTACCATTTTACAACTCCAAAAAATTGTGTACATGTGGAACAGTATTCACTGACAAAAGGTTCGGCAGTCACAATCACTGCAGCTACAAAAAAATCTAATCTTCACACACTGTTGATTGATGACCCCATCGTTGTTCAGCTCTATGTAACACTTGAAAATATCTACCATATCAATCGGCTCCTGTGTTTTGTACGAGCAATTTGATTGGTCACAGTTGTCACAGCTCTGGTCCAACACACCTTCAAGTGCTTTCCATTTTCAATCTCAGTCTTACATCAGATTACTTTTATTCTTCATATTTCAACACCTTGCTTCTACGAAAACCTCAGATATCACACATAAATCAAATAAGAGAGATTAAGGCCTTTGCACTTGCCGTATAACGTCTGGACTGCAGCACCACTTTAATTAATGCGCCAGCAGAGGCCTGGGAGGATTAAAGACTTATTACATAACCTCATACAGTTGAGCAGCCCCAGGTCACACAAACCAACCTAATTCACTGGTTACTTGAGGGGACTTGAAGTGAAGTTTCATTCAAACAGTTAAAAAAACTCCACTGACTTGACAGGTTTTACAAGAAAATGTCTTTCTTTTGTGACTGACAGTGCTCACTCCACAACAGAAGACTGACAAAGGAAATTAGAAAAGGAAGGTTTTTCTATTGTTTAACTTGTCACTGCAGACAACCTTTCTTGTTGTACTGATTAGGCTTCACAACCCAAGGCCTCGTAATATTTAAATCTTTAACATTAATTCTTCGCCCACCCTCAGTCTACATTCTTATCAAGGTTTCTGCCAGTTAAAAGGGAGTTTTTCCTTTCCTCTGTTGCAGTGTTTGCATATTCTGTGATTTGTTGGGTCTCTGTAAATAAAATTATAAAGAGTACGGTCTAGACCTGCCCTATATGAAAAGTTCAATGAGATAACTTATTTTATGAATTGGTGCTATACAAATAAAATTGAATTGAATTGAATATATTGGTCTCTGGGATGTTTCTACTGTGAGAAACAAAGTAAATAAATTCTACAAATGGATCTTTACGTGCATATGCAATTTCATCTAAAATGAGAGTCCTTTTTCACAGATCACAGATAATCCGATTAGGGAAACAAGTAACAAATGTAAATGTATCTTTTTCTCCAGGGTTCACACTAATAACGCCTCCTTAGCACAAAGAGGACTGACTGGTAAGGTGTCTTGCTGTGGGCTAAACTGGCACTGTTTTGTAGCCAGTACCAGCCACATGCAGATAAATTCTGCAATAACTGGTAACTTAGTCTCCATTTTTTTTTCTCTCTTCCTTCAGATCAACAAGTCTGAACCTGCTTTTATAAAGATAATGACATAAGACTGAAGTTCATGCTCTGTGAGGCTTGAAGAGAAATGTTCCAGGGGGAATATGGGAAAGGCTCAGAGCCAAGGCTTTGGTAGGTTCCTCTCTTCACTGTTAAGCTCTTGTGTTTTCACAAGTGGAGCTGCAGCTGACAGAACTGTTATGTAATGCAGAAGGAAGCGGACCGTGGAGCTGTCGGCTGGTGCATTCCGAGTTCATCTTATCACATAAACTGGATCTCCGCTACCGACATATTTTGGTTTATCATGATGCAAGAATAGTCAACAGCAGCAGGGCGTGCATGGGAGATTGAAACATTACAGAAAGCTTTCAGATGTAACTGAGCGCTTAGAAGTATGTACTGTATGAATGAGACAAATAGAGGAATTGAAATTATAGAATAATTATAGAATAATTATCAAATTATAAATGTGCACTGTATGAATTTATAAGTTGGAGACAAATAGAGGAATTGAAATTATAGAATAATTATCAAATTATAAATGTGCAATGGCTATTGGTAATTTTATTCCATTTTCCCATTTCAGTACAAGTTATGTGAAATGTCACTATGGTTCAGCATTTTCAGCATAGAAATAAGTGGATGTAGCCACTGTGACGTCACCCATTGGTTTGTGGACTACCATTTTAAAGCTTTGAGTTTGTTGAGTTGTATTTTGGTTGTTGACATCTTCATTCATCTCCAATATAAAATATATACTGGACATGAATGATATGAAAAAAGATCTGCAGCCCAAAAGTACAAAAATCCACTTTTACCTCAATTTTAATGAATGAAGTGGTGTGCTCTTGTACGTGTTTGTATGTGTGTGTGTGCGTGTCTTTATCACTCACCATGCTCCTCAATGTAGTCGACGATGTGTTTCACCAGTGCAGGAACCTCATGGCCACCAATTGTGTGTGTGCGTGTCACTTCGTCCAATGGAACACCAAAAACCCGCGTGGCGCCAGCTGAGCTCCCACCCTCATCGCCGGGCAACGGAGACACGCTCTTCCTCATGGCCTCCTCCTCCTCACCACAACCCCGCCAAGACCTCACGTCTTCAGAAAGAAGAAGAAAAGGAGGAAAGGGATTAGACAAAATAAGTGAGATGGAATGAACTACGCATAAAAAGTCTTGGTGAAGGATAGAGCCCGGCATAAAACATCACTTTTCATCTTCAGTCATACTCACACTGCAAGCCAAAGAGTGGAGAAAACACAATCACGACGACTGATCGAGAGATCCAAGGAGAAAACAAGAACAGTGATTAAGGGTCGTGGCCAATCGCTCTACCTCTGCGCTTCACAAACAAACAAAATAAGCACACTGCCGTCAAACATATAGGAGTGGCTGGTTTACACATTGTCGCATGTTTGTGAACTTCCCCTCCTGACATTTAACCGAGAAAGAAGAAGAGGGGGAGGAGGAGTGGGAGGGGTAGTATCAGGCAACTAGCCAACAGAAGCATTTATAACATATATTATTTCAGAAGGGTATATAGAGTATATGTTAAAGTGTCAGGGACTGGGGAATGTCTGCTGCCATATCATTAGCTATCAGTGTTTCTAAAAGTGTTAATTTAGACCAAAAGTGGGTCAACTTACTTTTTACAACAAGCCCTAATGACATGTTTGTATTCAAAGGATTAGTAGGTGGGTGGACATAATACATTTTACAAAATTTAGGATCCATGTTTACAAAAAAGGGGCTTCAAGACACCCCTGCATTTGAGGAGCCATAGCAGGAAAAGACGGAGACAGATTTAAGGTTTTTTGTAAGAGTGGTGGTGTTTCTGTCAGACAGGGATTATGAAGCAGGTGTGCTGTCTATGCCAAATGAAATTGTGGTTTATGTAGCACACCCTAATATAAAGTAAACTTCTTACAACTATTTCTTCCCACAGGGGGATGTTTTGAATTACATAAACATGATTAAGACACTTTGACTGTTATATAATCATTATGTAAAAGGTCATTACTTGAATTAAATTCCCATCCCTACAGTATTTGTTACGTCCTTGTCACTCCTTAGCTCTCATGCAAAGAGTGGCTGTCACTGTCCGAGTCTGACAATGGAATGGAAATAAATGCAAAGCAAGTCAGAATCTGCATGAATAATTTGTGTTCAAAGTTTGACTTTGATGACAGTCAGGTTGTGAGTAATCTGAATGCAAACAGTGGCAGATGGTGTCCATTCTACTCGTTGGGGGAGGAGGCAACATCGCCAAATGTTTATCAGAAAATGTAATCTGGTTTTGTTTTAACTAAATTGAGTTTACAGTACATCCCAAATGTGTGTGAGAGAGAGAGAGAGAGAGAGAGAGAGAGAGAGAGAGACACACACACACGCTTACTGTTTTTTGTATTGTAATGTATGGGGCTGATTGTTCTTATGTTGTATATATGATGCTTTGGCAATGTTGTTGTTACATTCATGCCACTAAAGCTGAATTGAGAGAGAGAGAGAGAGAGAGAGAGAGAGAGAGAGAGAGAGAGAGAGAAGGATTATTTTTTTCTGCTAGGAATGAAACTTAACCTGTTCAAAATGATCAGGTGTTTGCTCCTCCTTTCACTCCACTGACAACGAGTTTAAAACTAGTTTGTTTTGACATAACTAAACAGCTACTAAGGAATTTGAGGAAGTTTCACATTAGGGTTTTTGTAAGTAAGTTAAGGAGATGTGCTGATGTTTGTAATATTTGCTTTTAAGGGAACCAATGTGCTGAATCAGTTGGCATTTTGTGTTTAGTTAATAGGCCTTGGATACACTTGATGTAGAGCTAAAAGTTTATTGTTTGTGTATCAAAATCACAATTTAGACCAAGTAGAATTTTTTAAACTGCAAGGGTTAATTATAGCATTAATAGATTACACTTGCACACAGGAAATAACATTTCCTGGCAGATTTTATCACTTGTAGATAATCAACATTAATTTTGTGAGTTGGCCAAAGGACACAATAAAACTCTTGTCTGTTTCCTAGTTAATACATGCTCTATATGCCAAAGTCCAACCGAAGTTTGGTTTAAGATGATATCATTTTTAAATATGTTAAGACTGAAAGGACTGTGATTATTAGCCGTTTAGATAGGCCAACAGATTTGTGAACCCTTCTCCAGGAAAGTGATCTAATTGATTGCATTTGTCACATTCAATCAGGTAGTTAGCAACTAACTAAGTTGTTAAAAAAGTGGAATTGCAATCTACAGGATTCTAGGCTGAAATACAGATTTAAAATATTTTAAATATTCATGTATGCTACATAACTGCATGTATTAGAGCGTACATGTTACTGTGTATTAGGAAGAGGAAGTGGGAACTCTTATTATAAAGTTCTGCTGGGTTGTGGCTGTTAAAGCTAGAGTTTGTCATTTCAAGTGTGTGAAGCTAATATTAGCTCAAGCACCTAAAGTGTTGAGCTAATATTAATTAATTATTATTATTAATTAATATTAGCAAGTCAAGTCACAAAAAGTGAGTACTATAATACAAAAAAATGTGCTATTGTGTGTCGTTTCTCTTTCCATTGTTTAGAAGTGAAGTGCAGCAATGGATGTGCCTGCATGCATGCATATGTGTGTGTACTCACCGTGTAGCAGTGAAAGTGTTATCCTCTCCTCCCCTGACCAGTGAACCGCTGAACCATCTATGGCTGCTTCAGGTTGTGGCAGAAGATGAGCCGGTAGTTCCTCATTGACGGACCGCTAATCCCTCTTGCAGGATTCCCTAGCTACACTGAGGGGAGACGGGAAGAAAAGAAAGTGGAGGGAGAAACAGAGGTGAGGGTGGAGACAGAGGCGAGGAGAAAAAAAAATGTTTTTAGTAACAACCTCTAGTATGTTGAAACATGCCATGAGATACTTTCTTTTGTAATAAAATGCAACAGTCCTTAAGCTGAACCACTTCCTGACACTTGCTGTTTAAGACCAGCTGTCAAGTGTTTATGGTGCATACGAAGAGATTACGTTTGTAGCAGCAGCAACAGGCGTTTCCTATAACACTTAGTATCATTTAGATGTTATCATATCTGCTGATCCTGCTTAATGATTCTGGTACTTATCAAATTCCTTTATAAATACTCATTATTATTTCAATATGAAAAAGAAATAAAAAGTATTAAAAGCAAAATGCACCTTTATTCTCAACAGCTTTAGGCTGCCATTATCAGTAATGTGTCAAAAATGACAATGAATTGTAATGAGCAGTGATACAAACTTAACTTATTAACCAATATAAAATTTATAAAATGGACCCTGCCAAGACAGTCACTGCAACATATAATGTAGGTACCAAAGGTCATTAACCAGTAAGCTGACTTCTTCTGTGCAGCAGTCACACACACTTCACTCCATCTTCGACTAAAAAACAGCCAGTGTGTTAAAATAAGCCAAAGAGAGAGTGCCGTTTACGGGAAGTCAAAGCTTAACAGAAAATCCAGGAAATAAGATGTTGCAGTACATGCTATGCTGTTTGAATATAACAAGATTTAACCACAGCAGTGACTACCTAATTAAAAAGAAATTAAAATTAGGGATGCCAATATTCGTTATACCGATATGTTAACTCATTTTGGCCGATGCAGATAATTACACATCTTTTTTATTTCACTGAAGTCTCTCCTGTACTACTTATACCCTATTACACTCATTTGTTGTAGAAACAGATATTAAACAAGACAAATAACATTTGATACTACCAAAAATGTATGTTTTTACAAATGCAGACATAGTAAATAAGTAAGTAAATTATTTCACTTGGGACAGGATTATATGTCAGTGCCACATTTTATTTTTATGTAAAACCATAAAAACCAAGCTCGATATATTTTCTGAGCTGCAAACAGCACTGTAACAGTGAGCTGTCAAAGTTGTCCAGACCTAAAACCTCAGTCCTTAGGATGTGCTTTAAAGCATAACAAACTAGGGTGAAAAAAATTCAGCTGATCGAGGGGATCACGTCTGCTGCTGTGGTTGTAGCTGAGCTAATATCCATTGCCAGCTGTTCATACTGCTCCAGCAAACTCCTCAGCATGTAAAATGTATTCTTTTAGACGAGAGATGTTGGAAGTGCTTAAAATGTCCTTCAATCATCCTCCAGATTGAAACGCGATGAAACGATGGGCACCGAACGTGGTATTAGACGGGCCCGGGATGAACTGTTTATTACCAGGCTGCAGTCTCTGTGTCGAATCCCCCACCCACCCACACACCAGATTACAGCCGCAGTGGAGACGGTGAAGTGAAGGTAGCTCCAAACTACTCAAGTTGATGACAGCTAAACTTGGTACTTTAAGTACGTACTGTTACGGCAGAAAATTGTGTCCTCTTACATTTAATCTTTTATGTATGTTCTTTTACTATTATTATTATTATTTTTATGTATTGTCTTTTATCCTTAACCTTTCCTCTCCTATACTTCTTATGTTAGTCTGTCCACATTTATTAGGGTTTAGGTCAGAGATGTGGTGCTTTCCCTCTCTTGTTGTTGCTCTCCTCTCCTGGAATGTTAATTCAAGGCCAACAGAGGATCTCTGTTCCCCAAAACATAGAAACCTAGACTGTGTAAATGATGATGCATCCCTTTTGTGCCATTATGCAATAGAGCTATCTTCCTCTTAAACAGTGAAAACCACCCAAACCATCGATCGTATGTTTGGCTCTAGCTGCCAGGACCCACGTCTGCGTGGCTCGATCCAGGCGCAGCAACATAACGTCCAGAGCACGACAACAGCAGTGGCACATTTAACAGCATTGTTTGATTCTCGTCGGCTAAATCATCAGCCAAAATTTCATTTTCCGATATGATTCCGATAATGAAAATATGCCCAATATCTGCGGATATTATATCGAATCGATATAATATCTGCGGATATTATATCGAATCGATATTTATCGTCAGAGACAATTTAGAGGAGACACGCCACTCCATCCCATCCTCAATACAACTCTATAGGGAAAGCCCGTAACGGTAAAGATGGCGGTTATCCCGCCCCTCCCGCTACAAAGCCAATCGTCTTTTAACAGCCAAAGCAGGAATCATATTTCAGCCAATCGTGTGGTTCCACTGACGTAAGGGTCTGAAAAAGTTTGACAACTTTGCCCCAAAATAAGGTTTAAAAAGCGTTTTTCCCGACTGGTTATACTTCTACTGCGCATGCGCGGAAGTGGTGACGCATGCGTAGTAGAAGTATAACCAGTTGGGAAAAACGCTTTTTAAACCTTATTTTGGGGCAAAGTTGTTAAACTTTTTCAGTGATTATTATCAGATTTTAATAGTGATTCTCTGCTGATGTCCCGGGTACCAGTGAAAGTACAGATCTGGCTCTCTCCCCCCATTCATTTAGATAGAAGCCTGGTCTTGTTAGTCCGAAATAGCTGCCCAGAGGCGTTGCCAAGATGGCTGCTGAGTGGCAAGACTTGCCTAAAAGGACTTCGTTATCGTGCATTCATAAAAAAAAAAATACACAAACATTCAGTACTGAAGAAGAAAGAAGAAGACAAAAGAAAAATGCAGAATCATGTTAAGATGCCAATGTAAAATGGCCACTTTAGCCGCATTCTTATAAATGCCTACAGACTACGCGAGGACAAGATTCAGCAAACTTATATTCATTGCAATTAATTAGAACCTACGGCAACACAGGGAATCAATGCAATAAATCAAGCAAATGCTTACTAAACCACATGCAAAATACATTTTCACAAACTGGATACAGATGAACAATGACACAAATGAGGGCAAAGGGGTGGCTTCAAAAGATGTCTGTGAAGATCAGTCACCCAGATTTTAGTTATTCAAGAAGGGTAAAATCAGGAGCAACTGGACTGGCTGAGGATACTTGAAGACATTTCTCCTCCCATCCAAGAGGCTTCTTCAGGTCTAACTGAGTAACTCGGGAGGATTTTCCACAAACACCACATCCCTGTGTTTTTTAAACCCAACAACACCCTAAGACAGATACTGGCCCACCTGAGAGACTGCACACCCAAACAGAAGAAAAGCAATCTAGTACATGCTGTCCAGTGCAGTGAGGAATGCACAGACCTATATATCAATCAATCAATCAAAATGTATTTATAGAGCACTTTAACAGCAATCACGAAGTTGCACAAAGTGCTGTACAGAGATTAAAAAAGCAAACATCAATTTACAGGTTATCACATAAATATAATGTATACCGTTAAAAAACTAACAAATGAGTTCCTCCAAGTGTCATCCTCGAAGGTCAAAAGCGAGATGGATGGGTTTTAAAATCAGACAGTGAGGAAGCCTGTCTAATGGTAAGAGGAAGGGCATTCCACAATTTCGGAGCTGCCATCGCAAAAATTTATTATTGCAAACACTTTTTTTGTTTTTAACTGTGTTATGTCAAGGTTAGTAGACCCTAGTGCAGGACTAAGTGAATGAGGAGTTAGATAAAATTTACTGCGGGGTTACAAGGACGGGAAAAGCAGAAGATAAGGACGGTGCGTGCCGAATCGGGTTGGTGCCTGATGTGCCCAGCAGGTTAGAACCATTGGCTACCTACCTGAGAGTCTAGACTGAGAGGCTGAACTGAGCAGGTCCAGAGCAGAATACGTGAATATATTAGACAGACAGGCTTCCAAGTAGAGCAAACAAGATGAACGCTTTTTCCGGTAGGGACTAAAACATCACGTTATTATGCGTTATCACTTTTAACTTTTATGATAGCCTACTACATGATTCTTCAATTGGCCTAATATAATGATTTAAATGTGTTCATTATTCTGTTGTTTGTTTGTTGTAGCCTACAGTTTAAGCTACTGCTTAATTTTAAAATGTAGCCTATTTTACTTTTTTTTTATCTATAATTAAATTAAGGATTGTAAAATGAATAAACCCCATAACTGCCACAGTCATCATTCTGTTTAAAGTGTTCTCACACAGCTGTGGGATTCATTTTGCTTTCCCTTTGATGTAAACTAGAGCTTTACGTTCTCTGCTCTGAATGGAGGTCAGGCAGCTATTCGAATATTCGAGTCCAGCCCTACTATGAATGCGTCTGTCTTTTCATGTTTGTGTCTCCTTCAAATGCTTGAGGAAAGCTAAAGCCTGTTTCATTCAGAAACCGAGGCCCTCCTTTCTCTTCATTTAATGTTTTTGGTGCTAAAGAATTAAGAACAAATGTCTCCTCTTTTTGTTTTCTCCATTTCATCTCTATTTTCTAAACCCCCTTTCCCTCATTCTCTTTACTTTCCTTCACCTTCTTCTCTCTCCTTTAATTTCGCTCACATCCTTCCTCTTTAATCTCATCCTCCTACGTCAAGGCTTGAGATGTGTGGCTGACGACTCAGCTGGAGGCAAGAACCAAACACAATAATTATACTGACACTGGTTAGGCTAGAAAGCTTTTCCACTGTGTGTGTGTCCTGCATGTAGAATGTGAGCAAACTGTCACTTTGAACTTGGGAGTGTGTGTGTTTATATATGTGCTTCATGAGGTCAAGAGTGCAAAGTCAAGACTGTTTGTGTGTGTGTGTTAGGATAGTATAGTGAGTATATGGGAGATGGGATAAAAGGGGGAATGTGTGTTGGTGTGTGCTTGGAAAGAGAAACTGTCCTTTGAGGCTGCCCCTGGCGACTTAAGCCTAGTTCACATTAAATGATTCTAAGCCCGATTTGCCAGTCGGCGAGCTCAACGACCGTCAGGCTGTGATCGGGGTACATCAGCGATGATCTGCGGTCGCCAGTCGTTATGTGCGAACAACTCAACG